GAACCAGTCTTAAATTTGTGTGCTGTCTCAATTTTTTTTTTATTTTTTTGTATTAAAATTATGTTTGTTTATTTACTCATTATTTTTTAACAGGTTTTGGTTCAGGACTGGCTGTTCATGAGAAGCTTCTTGAACTCTTGAAGAATGAGTTTGGAGATTTTGCGGCCCCTTCATCACTCACGTGGAATGTGCAACTAGGTGACATCTGGTCGACAAAGAGGCGACTTCTTTTAACATACAATGATGGTGCAATGGTGGAAAGAAGTGAAATTTTGTGGCCTGCTGTCTCTCATCAGTGGGGAGATGTGCAGACACTTGACAATTTATATAAATACCTCTCTGGTGTTATGAACAAGTAAGTTGAAAGATTTGAAACATATTCAGTTGTTTGTGCCCAAGTAATTTGTTTTCTTAGTTCCAAAAATGATTTGCAATCGTGCAGGACGTGAACTACAATCCTGAAGACAGCCAGATGTATTCAGACTTTTATTTTCATTGTTCGTGTTCAAATGAGAGAATTCAAAGGTTTGAAAGCTCAGTTATATGCAAAGTTTTCAGATTGTTGTTTGCTATAATTTCTCTCAGTTCTCCCACTCTCGGTATAACTTCATGGGTTATATTTTCCTGAGTACTTTTGTTTGTATTTATTCAGCTGACCTAGAAAGTCCCTGTTTTAGACAAGAACCCAAATGTTTGTACCCATTATATCCAGAGTTTCTTGTTTTCCCCTTGGCTTGCTATATTTACACCCAGCCTCAAGTGGTTTCCAGCTTTCTGACTAAGATTCTTATTTGCATACCTCATTTTCCCATGCATGCCAACTGTATCATCCTCATTGATTATGATTTTTTATGAAGACTTTAAATTATGAAGTTACTCATCTTTCTCCAGTCTCCCATTAATTCCTGTCTCTTAGAATCAAATTTCACATACAATTGGAAGAAAGAAATTAGTTTTTGTGTATTTTCATGTTAACAGTCCTCCAAATGACAAGGGATGGTCAGCAATGGCAGAGTTAACACCAACAACACTTCAGGTAATCACAGATGAGTTAGGTGGACTGCGTCGCATGTCTGAGATGGTGAACCAAAATGTTACAACCTGGTATCGTGGGATATGGGGTCAAACGGTAAACATTGTGGCTGCCGACTTTTTCCGAGGTACCAGACTGGTGGAAGCAGCTATTGATTGGAATCAAATTCGTGCACAGCAACTTGCATGCAGTATTCAATAGTGACAGATCATTACATGTGAGCACAATGTAAAGTATTCAAAAATTATATGCTCTTCATTGAGCTGAAGGCCTAGATTTCGGTGCAGTCAGACATTTTTAGAAAGAATAAAATTTAAACTTATGAAGATCTGAGACCAGGGGAGAGAGCTGGATTTAAAACCTGTCTTACAGAGATATCTTGTGGTATTCCTCAGTCCTTCCCTGCATATGTCAGGTTAAAACAAATCATGGCTGTTACTACACTTTGCAGTAGCCCAACATACTGTAATCATCATCTTGCACTGTTCTGTATTATATAACGTGCAGTTAATACAGCATTGCGAACATTTGATATAATGAACAACACAAATCATTCAAAATTTCCCAAAGTCGCCAATAGATAGAGTTCCTTACAAAACGAAATGCCAAACGTATAGTGAACATAATTGTAAGATTTAAATAAATAAACTTTTAAAAAATATATTACAATAATTATCAGAAAATTATTATATGATAATTAGTACATTGTTTTGATGCTTCAAAATGGCTGCTAACGTATACGATACGTATCGTAAAAGCTCAGGAATGCAAGATACACAACGAGCAACGTCTTGGAACGGAACTCGTTCGTAAACAGTAAGTTGCTTATGTTGGCGAGGGTATGAACTAATGTAAAGATTAGTGAACTGCCACGCCATGTATTGGCGAGGGTATGAACTAATGTAAAGGTAAGTGCATTGCCGCGCCATCTGTTGGGAAGGCATAAATTAATGAGCCCGCGAAAATTTTCTGACCCGGTTACCTCCTTGGGAATCCTGTAACCCGGATAGAAGGATCGAAAAACTCAAAGCTATGTGACCTGCTTTGCTATCTGTTGGCAAAGACATGAACTAATGTAAAGATAAGTGAACTGCAGCAACATATAGAGGCAACTCTTGCACCGCCACCCCCCTCCCCCCAATGTAATCTCGTCCCCCTCCATTCCTTGCCGTGTCATCTTGCGGTTTACGGGGAGAGGAGGGCAGTTCCGACCCAGCTGGAGGGTGATAACCTGTTGTTATGGTGGTCGAATATGGTAAGTTGAGTTTTGATCGTTCTATATTTGTTTCCGTTTTTTAGTGTGCTTCCAAAATTTTGTTGGGAAGGTCGGAACTGACTAGGGCTTTGCAGCAATTCATAGGTACCTTGGGATTTTAACCTGAGTTGGTTTTGTTCAAGGCCCATCCGATTTCTCAGGTTGTATCAAGTCATTTATCTAGTTGTAGTCTTTTTGTAAGGAAATACTAGTGATTTTTTGAGTTGTATAACCCTATTTATATAGGCGTATGTTTGCCTTGTATAGTTTGATAATACCAGTTTTGTTTTGAATTGTTTAGTGTGTATTACTAGTTGTCATTATTTTGTTATTATATTGTTTGAAAATAAATTTGATTTTGTTTTTGTTCGAATCAAAGAAATCTCCTCCCCTCACTGCGGTTCACTGACCAAGAAAGTCCCCGTTTTCTACAAGAACCCAAATGTTTGTCCCCATTATATCCAGAGTTTCTTGGGTTCCCCTTGGCTCGCTATATATCGAGTCCATCTTCATTTTTTAAATGAGTCACCCAAAAAACTAGAAGCTCCTCATGTAATTTCATTGTTGCTAAAATGGACAATTCATTCATGTATATTGACGTCCTACAGAAGATGGGCGAAGGGTAAGTGCAGGGGGGAGGTTATTATGGTGATCAACTCAGTGGGTCAGTTTAGAATAACATTTCTCCATTGTGAGTCATCACCGCCATACAGAATGTTACTTGACAGTGCATGTGCACTTTGCCATCTTGTGGTATTCCTCAGTCCTTCCCATAAGTATGTCAAATCATGACTATTACTGTGTTATATAACCTGTGCAGTTAATACAGCATTGTTAGCATTGGCTTTCTGTGTTGTAATGCTGTGTGGACTTTCAGGTATATCCAGTGTTTTGGAGAACATACTGCCTTCATCTTCAGCCCTAAAGAATTTCACTGCAGTCACTCACTATGAGAACTTAAAGTCGGATGTAACTGTTTATAAAGTTGGCTATAAATTGTATATCGTAATTAAGGTTGTCGGAACGAAATAATTATTTTGATTGACAGTTGTTTGTATGGGTGCATGATTTCGTTTGATGATCTTGCATAGACACCAGAATCGAAATTGCCGTGGATTTTGGTCATTAGAAACAGCGTAAGAAAATGATTTAGCTGCTGTGCTTTTGGTTATGGGAATGAATATTTCTGTTCATTTCTGTTAACTTCGACCAGATCTTTTTGTTCGTACAGTTGCTCCTCTGAGATTGATACAGTTTTTGTTACGTCTGTGGGTTACGTAAGAAATGCAACAACGTTTTCGTAAGACATTGTGTTAACTGAAAGTGGAGCAGATGATGCTTAATATTGTCGGTACTTGCGTACTGAAAGGCAACTTTTGTTTCTTCCCAACGCCGGAACTTTCACTCGCTGCTACCACTTTCACCGATGACTCAAGAACTTCCGCCTTCTCTGGAACAGGCCTATAACACTTAGTGGAAATTACGCTGAAGTATAGAATGGAATGACGTGTTTAAAAGAAATTTTTTTAAAAGAAATTGCGCTTAACGCGACTGATTCCAATTCGTTTGCGAACCTCTGACTGAGGTTTCAGGTGAATGTTAGAATATATAGCACCTTAAAATAGGACACGGTCGCTTCATAATTCACAGACATCCAATCGTGTACGAATAAAGTAACCTTGATCCGGAAATTACGAATCAGCACTAGTTAACATTGCACGAAAACATGCATACTTATTAACTGTTAATCGTCGCAGTTGGCCTCACTGTGTACTTAAATGTCTAACGGAACCGTAAACATCAGTTATTTTCACAACTAAGCGTTGATATTGTTCTGACAAATATCGGACGCTAATAATATCGATTTCAAAATGTTGCTGATGTTCTGCTGTTCGGAACCCTGATGATTTTGTCTGACTGGCCCTTGATTCGATATCGAATCGATTTGCCTACTATAGACGTTTATGTGAAAATCGTATCGTGCATCACGCCTTTGTAGGTTACTCCATTTTTGTATTTTGTGATTCCCCGTCATTTGTCGCTAGATGGGAGTAGCATTAGCTCTATTCGATTTATAACAACTGGCAGTCTACTACGGCTCAGATATATGAAATTTTAAAAGTGCTAATTGTATTATTGCAATTTATTAAGCGCAAGAAACATCGACCTGACACTAGGACCACGTGAAACACTTGAAGTTGTTGCATCATTTGCTTCCTGACGTTTCTACGGCTAATAGTTGGGTCTGTTATTCT